GCTTTTAATGACGTGAATGCTTCTAAATCAGTTGCTCAGAGCTTCCGTCAAAGATCATCTGCTAAGTCCCACCAAGTCATTCCGCCTTCGCATAGTACTAGCGATGCCTTCATTACAGAGGAGTCCAGCAAAACATAAATGATAAGTTCATACTTTGTAAAACATTTCACCATCGAAACGGACCCAATCCCTTTAATTTTTCAGTTATCTGATGCTTGTCTTAGCATCATTAATTCTTCTCCTGAATGTATTCAAAAACTGATAGGCTATCTTCCTAGCTCTCACTCAGTAGGTACGGACAATATCTCAAACTCTCTTATAAAACAGCTAAAAAGTTTTCCTCCTCTGCTTAGCAAACTCTTTTCAGTATTCCCCATAAATGGCTTCTTCCCTGACTATCGGTGAATTCCTATTATTATTCCAGTATTTAAGTCTGGCTGTCGTTCTGACGTACAGAACTATCGAGGTGTCCATAAAACACCTTCGCTCGCCAAAACCTTTAAAAAAATTATCGCCTTAAAAATTACAGAATTTGCATAGCCAATCAAGTTATAAGCCCTTCCCAGCATGCTTTTTTATCAGATCGCTCTTGTGAAACCTGTCATCTGTCGTTTCTTAATCTACTTACCTCTCTTCGTAATGACCATCTATCTGTTGTCGTTATTTATTTTGATCTTAGTAAAGCCTCTGATAAAGTACCACATAAAAGACTCTTGGTTAAATTGGAAACAATGGGAATTCGCAGTCCACTAATAGACTTTCTCAGGTCATACCTGTCTAAACGTAAACAAAAGGTTTTGGTGGGATCTTGACTTTCCAGTGAAAGCCCTATTTTAAGTGGTGTCATACAAGGCACTGTTTTAAGTCCTATTTTGCTCCTGTTTTACATAAATGATATCTCGGCGGCAGTTAAACATTCTCAATCATTTATTTATGCCGAAGATCTCAAATGTGTATATTCTTTCAATAAATCTACGAGCCTTCATTACCCGGGGCAAATCCATGCTGACTTGCTTGCTCTCTCAACTTGGAGCTCAAAATGGCTAATGGAATTCTCTCCGTCTAAATGTCGCTATATGTGTTTTGGACCTGACAGACTACCCCAACCAGTGGTTCTTCAAGGCACACCTATGACGGAATGCACCACCATCAAGGATTTCGTTTTAAGCTACACTAAGAATCCTGATCTCTTGCCACATGCTGACAGAATTACAGCCAAAGCTGCCCAGATATGCGGCCTTATTTCTTACAATTTCTATCTTCCTGAAATTAAATTAAGACTCTATGGTAGGTTTGTACGTCCCATTCTCGAATATTGTTGCCAATTCTTTGTTTTGATGAACGAGGCTAGTCGTTTAAAAATTGAAAATACCCAAAGACGCTTTTCTAAAAAAACTTTTAGATAGGGAACATCCAAATATCTCCTACTCAGATCGATGTCAGCTGATTAACCTAAACATTTTATGGGTTCAAAGACTCGAAACAGGTTTCTGTCTCCTCTTTCGCATTAATAATAGTTCAAATCTTCCTCTGATTTCAGCATTTACCCCTAGTATTCGCCCATACAATCTTCGTAACTCTTCCTTCATTATACCTCCTCCAGCTTTCTCCACCTCTAAGCGCTCTCTTTTTTTCGCTCCCAGATATCCTTTCCTCTGGAATAACCTTCCAATAAATATAAGATCTCCAGATAATCTACACACTTTTAAGAGACGGCTACGCCCTTATCTGCATACCGACTCGATTAAACTTTTATTTTGCTCATCCTTCTCAGACAATTTTCTCTATGACACTGAGAAAGGGCCACCGGGAATTTAGTATGCCGCCATTAAATTTCCGTATCTGCTCACATTTCTTTCTTTTGTGAGTCGTATCGTTTTCTAGGATCCCTCATCAAAAGTGTTAATTCTTCGGTTTTCAGTCCATCCATCGTGCCGTCACAGAATGTGGTCCATCGTCGCTCTTGGCAGAACCTTCTGTACTTGTCATGCACTAGTATTCTGGTCGCATCTCCCTTGCCCCCTCCTCGGCTGGATTCGGCAGAATGTAACTGATCGCATCTGGGTTCATATCTGGTTTCCAATTCGCCACTTTGACATGAATGACCTCACCCGGCATATGAATTCTCCAATGATGATTCCCGACTCGATCCTTTCGCCCAAGTCTACACAGGCCAGTCCTGCCTGACCCGCCTCCTCACCCCTTCATGAAATCTGTCATACAGTGCCATATACAGACCGATCGTGTCTGCTTTTTATAAACTAAGGAGCGAGAGTTTTTTTCTCTTATAGTTCTAATCCAATCATACTCATTTTGTTTATGTTAGGAGTTTTTTTCTGCTCGCTCAACATTCCTCGTAACATGCTACTTATTCAAAAACTACGAATTAAGTACTCAAATAATTCTGCACACCTCGTCTAACATTCTAAAATTAATGCTAACGTTATTCTTACTTGCTATGATAGGACCTCCACGGGTCTTGAATAAAAATTATTATTATCATCAACACATATAATTACGGCCTTTAGGGTCGGCAGAGGGCTCAATTGTGCTCTTCGGTTAGGTTAGTTTTTTGGATTAGCATGAACGACCAATCTTCGAGACCACCAATATATTGAGCGCAAATTATGTCAGGCTTGTAGTGCGGGCCAAATTCTTCTCCCACCGAAGAATGCCGAATTCCGCTATCTTGGCGGAATACGTTGAGACATTCGAAAAGTCTTAACAGATTTATGCTTAACGTTCGTATGTTTACTCAGTATCGTCGGCTGACTTAAATGTTATGTAAATATTTGCATGTTTTTTCATTCGAACATCTGTAAAAAAGGGTTTTCTATGGCTTTGAGTATTTCCATTATGTATGCCGAATTATACTGAATAGAACACAAGCGTCAAGCAAAAACACCCTATTACCAACTGCATGGTCGCTCTCTTTCGGAATTCAAAAAAACTTTTCCGAATTCGGGGCGCCGATTCTACCGAATTCATCTTCCGTGCTGATGAAGTTCATGGACTTTATTAACCTTCCTGATTTTATTTCGAGTGGGAGGTGGTAACTCCGCCGTTCGCCGTTCGTAACTAGCAGTTTTCAGTCTCTGCAGCCTTGTCTGTTACAGAGTCCCGAACTCATGAAAAAGGAATAAAATTTGCAAAATCTGGCTGCACTCCCACCAACTATTCCCGTTCTAGACCGCCGTTATTTCTCGAGCCCCATTTTATTCTCCCGAATAACCCTGATTGTCGAAGACCCGGCCAACTCCAAGCTGACTAGTTTGGAACTTGCTACTGTTTGCTCGATCCATCCTGTAAACTGGCATCCAATATAATGATTGTAATAATCAATAAGCTGTTAGCCGTTTCAAGCATAACCATACATATTATGCATTATACTTATTTTTCGTTCAGTCGTCTGCTTCTTTCCAATTGCAGCCGCACCTTCGGAATGGGAGGGCGATTATCCATTGAACGCATCGCTTTGGTCACTGGCACGTCATGCTGGTCACGCTGTCGTACAAGGATATAGTTCGGCAGTTAATATTAATGCGAACCAGAGTGCATCTACGTCATCTTTTGGGTCGAAAGGTGCAAGGTCTTTGGCAGACAAAGACTGAGGTCCCTGGAGACGTGCAGTAGGAGAATGTCGTTACCGATGCAGCTGTCGATCAGATAAACACTGAACATTAACTGTTAGAAGAAGAATGCTGCATCGACGCGATAATAATGTCATCCAGAACAGTTTGTCAATACACCTTCGATTCCGTCGTTAGGATGACGCATAGGTCTTTGTAGAACCTGTCCCTAACCTTGTCAGAAATGGTCATTGAAGAGAAGCTGAGGCGTTGACAGTGGCTACGAATTTCTCCCCGCGAAGCACGGTGTCGTGATCAAGAGGCGGTCATACACACCCCGAGGCAGGTAGGACTGCTGTCTCACGACGTTTTTTCTGATAGTGAGAGCGAAACCTGCATCTCTGCCCTTAGACGCTTGCTCCTGCTCCGAATTCCTCCACTTTTTATCAACAACGTCTAATGACATCCTCCGTAGACCCTCCTTCCTGAAGGGTTAAACAGATTTATCTCTTAACTGGACTGGTCACACATCTCAAGTTGCTGCTGAAATCGACTAGAAATAACCATATTTGTTCAGTGAAGAACGACCGCTATCTGTGTTGGTTACCTACGAAATCGCATGTGGAAGTCTCCATAAGGTTTCTCTGTTTGGAGATGTGAGGTAAGGGCCTTGATTTTTAAGTAACCATCAGCGGCAAAGATTCACACACTCACCAGGCCGTTCAGAGTAATGACCAAGGCTAATGAAACAATATGTCACGGAGAACAAATGTATCCCCTAACCGAACGCTGCTTATGGCCAAGAATTAATGTTCTCCACAGATAAGTCAAATCGGCAATTTCACATGAATTGCCACTTGTGCGTATGAAGCATGCAAACATGTGAAATATTTCCAAGCGACAGTTAAAAGGACAAATTATGCTCTTATTTTCTGCCCCTTTCGTCTCGGTTTCCAGACTTTTAGTCCTTTCTTTTCCTTGGTCTCTTTTTTGAAGTTTACGTTGATCTTTAAGTGTATTTTATATCGCGTTTTTCCGTATTCGAAGTTCCAATTTGTCTTCTCTTTCTGAATTTTTGGTAAAAACGTTTCTTTAGTATACATAATTGCCACTTCGATTTGTTCATCTTCTACTGCCATTTCACATACTTAATGTTCGGATTTTTACTGAACCCCTTAGCGTTTCGCTCGCCTTGCTTACCTGTGTTGCAAGAGGTAACCTCCAATCTCAAATACACTATGGGATTTTACTCCCAACTAACTAACGGACATATGCAAACTAACGGGAGGCCTGTTGTTATATTCTGGAACATATGGATCCGTAGCCATATTACTTTGATGATTGTGAATGACGGAATAGTGGGACTGAACTCAACTTGGACTTTACTTCTGATTGTCCAAGGTGCTTACACCTGTTAAATAGTCATTCGTAATGGCTCTGGAGGGCGACTATCAGAATCCTGGAGTTGAAAGTGATTATCAGCATGAGTTGATGGACAATTATCCCAAAAAGTAGACCAGATTTAAGAATTCGATTGTTCTAGTCTGGAAAGTGGAGATGACTACTGTCTGCACTGTGCTGAAGGCTTTGAAGTCAACGAAAAAATAGTTCAAGCTAGAAACGAAAAGTACCATGTGGGATGTTTTGTGTAGGCTTTGTTGACTTTGGTTGATGTAAAATAGATGCGCCCAATGTTTTCAACCGTTCCCCGACGGCGTCTATTATAACGTTTGGTGTTTTATTATGCATTGTCTCTTGTTTAGTTCGATGGTCGTAAATACTGTGAACACGATTTCCATGTCCTTTTCGCTCCGTGTTGTGGTGGTTGCGGTAAGGACTTGTTTTTATTTTTGATAATGCTAGGCTGCTTTATCGTTGGGCGCGTTATAAAGGCTATGAACAGCAGCTGGCATCCTGCCTGCTTCTGTTGCAGTTCGTGCAAAAAGGGTCTGGCGGATGACGGATTTGTCAAGCATGCTGGACGGTAAAGTTTCTTCATAATTCCGTTAGGTTTCTTCATTCTTGTTACAATTGTTTTTAATCCATGCATTCTTTTATGCGCCATCACTTCTGTATGCCAAAATAGCGTATTTACCCTTCTAAGAATCCAAGTCGATTAAACTTCTTCACCTTTGAGATAACTTGGCAGGTAGATATGCTTGAACTTCGTAATCTTTAGCCAACTATTTCGACTTGCTTTGAACACAAACTGCACAAATTTGTCCGCCAAGACACCTTATACCAGTAATTTTCAACCCACAGGCGAATTAGCTTTCTCACCACACTTAAACATACAAGGTGCAGTGGTTCCAGAGGAAAACTGGACACCAAACTCACATTACGACAGATAAATGGTGACGACCCGACTACATGCTGGTTACTTTTCTGTCCTCTAGAGTCACTATCCTTCCCCTCCCCACCTTCCTCAAGGTAGACAACTTTTCCTACACATATTACAACAGCCGTACAACGTTCCTAGTCGTCATATGCATTAACATTCTTAAACTGCCTAACGAAATCTCTTGCGGGTGCACCGCAAGTAACACCAGCCGTACGGACACGTATCCTGCCTGTGCGATTTCCGAATCGCAATCCTTCCTCTTGAAGGACAATTAATTCGTCTATTAGTTCCTTACGGAAAACTTCTACATTAGGCGGTTTGCCATTTCCACAGTACACGGTAATGGCAAATACGTCACCAACCAATGACTTTACGACATGACCTAGAATTGGCTACAGCTCAGCCCTCGTCTTGCGATAAAGAGGCAAACCATCTATAGCTAGATTCACAACTGTCCCTTCATTGTCTGAGGCTACGAATTCACTATCTACTAACTGACGCAGTTGCTTCTGCAGTCCAACGTGAACGTACTCCCACAACGCATGAGAGCTACTCTCAACTTATACAGTGCCCCGAAAAGTGTGCAAGGGTCTTCGGGCAACTGCGGAACTGCCATCCTAACTGTCTAACAGACTGCGCAAATGACGGTGTGCAATATTGAACTGCAAAGCCCAATCACGCACCATTGTCCTCATTCGTCCACTGAATGGCAAGTTATCACTACCGATGACAGTGTCTGCGCAAGCAATACAGCCTACAGATGCAACATCACCTAACAAGGGTGTTGGTTGGCTAAGACTCCCGCTGCCAACGTCTATCGGGCTGCCAGCTGACGACTCCCAGCCCAAATAATTCGCCCGATAACGTTTGCTATCGCTAAAAAGCGGACACACCTCTGCGTCTGTTTCCTTTGATATTTCGTCGATCTTCTTCTTCTTCTTCCTCTTCTTCGCATGTCGCTTCATAGTGCATTTACATTCGAGCACGTGATAGCACACGGAGCACGTGGTACGCACACAATAATGGCGAAGAGCCTGCGCGCGTGCGACCATTACTAACGCAAACATGCAGGCCAGTGGGTGCGGGAAACAGTAAACCCGTTTTCCAATCAGGTGACGAAATAATCTAATCGCGAGAAATCTGCGATAAGAGTGCATCAAGTGCATCAAGCAAAGTCATCCCCTTCAACGGATTCCGCATTTAAGGTGTTTTCTACATCGTAGGCCTTGCTCGGTTTTTCATAAGCAGCCTTTATTAACTTAGGGATTCATATACTAACATATATAAGTTAATCTAATTATCAGAAATAGTCATGTAGGCATGAGTCGCTCATCCATAGAAGTCTGCAGCAAACAAACAGTCTTGCCCACTCGAGTTGATTATACCGTGATGTGTAGTTGGTGTGGAATGCGAGATTTCCATTTACTGAACGTTGACTAAGCTTCCTCTTATGATCAGATAAGAAGGAGTACTCGTGATGCTATATAACAATGGATTAAATGCCACAGAACTCCATACATTATTGTCCTTTATTCTACGGCACTCTTCAACTTTGGTTGTGTGATTTTCCGAGGCAGATGTGCAATTTCTCGACTTTGAAACACCTGACGTTTTTGTTAAAATAGCTTAATAAGTTTTCACTGAATGGCCTCTCTTGTAAGCGAAGCGCAAAATAGAAATCTCCAAGACTACGACAAATTAATGCTGTCTCTGTATAACCATTTGGTGTTTTCCCTTTCAAGGTTGGATTTTCTTACCTTATGCCGATCACGAGTCTTTGATATCGTTGAACACTAATATATGGGCTCGTCTGAGGACTTGGAAGTTTTAGATGGAGGCCTTATAAGACAGAAAACTCCTATTCTATCAAACCAGTTCGGTGAACGCTACTATCATATGATTTATCGCGGACTTAGCCTGACGTGACGTTCTTAAAAGCTACCAGCGCTGTCGAAGGTCGTCAGAAATTTAATGCCTAAGCTCACCATGAAGTCTCACGTCCGGTTGAGTTATCGTCTCTGCCATTCATTGATAGATGGGGCACGTTACCCAGGTGTCTCGTATGAATGCCTTCATTTGGTCTTCACAACCAAAGCCTGAAAAAGCGTTCATTCATTACTGTCTTTAAGAGGGAAAGATTGTTTCAGACCCCTGCGTAATTTGAATTACGGTTGAGCCGTTGGTCATTCAGCGTGTTCGTCGGTGATGACCATTTGAACAATTTCCAGCGAAAATTGATTACGAACTTAACAGGCTCTTAAATCGGACGAGTAAGCAGCGGCGGCAGTGTTACCAGGTTCGGTGCACCAGCTGCCTTCAGAACGCTGCAAAGCCTAGTGTCGGTACTGTTACATGGCTACTATGAACCGCCATTAAACAAGTTAACTTGCAATTTCAGACTCGTAGTTAGGTTCCTGAGTCGAAATGATAGAGTAAACAGCCTGGTAAAAACAATCTAAGCGGATTTTGGGGCATGCCTGTACTCTCAAGTAATCATCAAAACGCCCACTCGGTATTGCAACCCATGCTGCGGCATCCGCAGGACCCGACACGCCCCGCAACTCAGATAGAATGGTGCGGATAAGTAGTGTGCGAGGCAGACTACTAAGTCGGGAATGGACCCCCAGTATTGCATGCTGGAGTCACTAACGTTTCTTGATCATAGAAGCTGAAGTCTGGTGGCGTACATTCTATCGGCGCAGTGTAGATGTCTAAATCCCCGACCCGAGCTCTCCCCATTCTTCTCATCTGCACTAACGTTCCGTCGGGTGGCCCTCCTTCCCAGGAAGAAACGCTCGACGCAATTCTGAGACAGCGCAACAAACATTCGTAAAGAATAGCATACTTGCTGCAACCTGCAAATGGTATGGAAACGGGCTTCGTGGGAGTGCTTTGACATGCGTGAAGAAGTCAGCTGGTTCCCGATTACTATCCTTGTTTCCATCTTCAAAAAAAGGTAAACGAATGTGGTAAGGTGCTGCGACACCTGCCATGTGAACATTATCGCAACGGTCCTAGTTATCGTCACTGCCAAATAGTTTTGAGGTATTCGTGATTCCAAAACTAGATCCACACTCAAGTCGGGGTTCTGACCCAGACATGAATTCACCAGCAAACTATTCACACTGCAGCATATCTCCGAATTCCGCCATGGTTGCCGGCAACTGGTGCTTCTCCGACTTGCTGATTTCACTGCGACTCTTGTTTCTGCCGATCACGAGTCCCACTTGCGAATAGTGGAGCCAAATGGTGTGCTAAATGTGTCGGCAAAGATGATCACAATGGTCGAGGCTTGCCACCGCTCTACAAGCACTGGGGCTGCGATCCGTAACAACACTTCTCTATCGTTTGATATTCCTTCCGGCGTGCGACAAGCTCAAATTCTGTCGACCATTCTGAATCACGCTGTTGACTGTATCCGGGAGGGCCCTGAGTGGTTGTGACAGTATAGGATCTGCGCTAGGACGCCAGACAGTTGAAGTCTACTGTAACATCGACTCACTAGTATCAAGCTGTTTAGATCTGCGGAATGTGTCGGGTTTGAAGGATATCGCCAAGTCAGTTGGTTTATCCAGCCCTGCTGGGAAGGCCGAAGCTTTTTCGAGCTGCATCCCTGATCAGGTGAATGGACCTCGGGATGTATGGTTAAAAACCTGAAGAAGTGGACTGTCTCGAATAATTTAGGACGAGACCGCTGCCACCCCACAGGGTGACACCCTCGTCTACATCTATGCTGCTTGAAGGTTTTCACAAGCCTTGATAAGTATCAATGGATCCGTCGCGACACGTCAATCGTCACAATTATTCGCGTGTACCAGTCATCCCCCCGACCGGCCGTCCTATACACATGTGGATGCCAGACTGAGGCCTTTGGAACTGAGTCAAACTCACAGGCTCGACTAATGTCGACTGAAAACTGTCCACTGAGTAAAGTACACTGACTTGGTTTCTAATGAATGTCCGCGAGGGAATCTTGGGTTGTCAAAGGAGGACGACTGAAGTTTGGGCACGTTATTCGTCGCGCGTCTCATGAGCTCAGCATTGCTGCCCTTGGTTGGGCGCCGCTGCTCACTTGTAAGTGGCAAAGAGGCCGCCTGGATTGGTGACTCGTCACGGTCTGTCAACACATGAACGTGGTTCATCGTTTGGGAAGTGAGTGGGGTCCTCCAAGCCCGCTTCGCAGATAGTCGCATATAGGCAGCAGCAATGCCTAACATCACGGGGGCTGGGTAGAGTAGGTATGACCGTCCATGTACCAAATACACTTAATTTCAGGACCTTTACTTAAGTAACACTACGGGGACTCGACTACGCCAGTATAAGGTAGACGAATTTCTTATGACGTTTTGGGAGGTCAGCTGCAAATGTGCACGCATTTATCTCGTAGAAAACCCCTATTTTAATCACCAAACGGCGGTAGTAGCCTTTATGCAATTTCCAATTGTCCCCCTCTCTATTGACCATGGCGAGTGGTATATCTGCGTCTCCCAGAGTGCGCTCACTGAAAACATATTGCTAGTTGTTTCTCGTTCTTGTAATAAGTTATGCACCCTTTGTGTGGAGACTTGTAGTCACTCGTATTACTAAATGCACTCAGAACTAAGGAGCGGGCATCCCAACTGATGCTGTGGTAGCCATTTTGACTTTACACGGCGACAGTTTCTACTCATACTGTTCAAATTCTAAAACGTATTCTCATCCCGCCTCACAAGACACCTTATGTTTATTCTTGAGGCTAATAGGCTATTTCACCTCCTATTTTAGGGCACTCTGCCATGAATGCAACGCCAAGGAGAAAGCGAACAGCTCTGGACGACTACTATGTTTCAAGTGCCACTCATATGTGGAGGATGGGCAGCAGCTCAAGTACCGTTCGGAAATCTACCATGCCTACCATTTCACCTGTTCTTCGTGCGGTTCAGAGCTAAGTTCCGATGCTCGCGAAAAAGACGGCGATCTTTACTGTTTGCGCTGCCATGACAAAATGGGAATTCCCATTTGTGGGGCGTGTCGGTAAGACAAGTCCAGCCTGCCTCTTCTGGGTCCTACTTAACCGTTGGACCTTCATTCCAACCGTCCTTGATTCTCTCATGCACTTTTATTTCACCTCCAGTTATTTACTGAGCTCTGCCATAGCCTCCTTGAGTGTTCTTTCTAGGGCTCCACTTTAAGTTGGTTATTCCACGATACCTTGTGCTTGATATTTTGTTTACTGTTTCATTTGCCTAGGAAGCTATCCCCATACAACCTCAGTATGCACCGAAAGCACAACAGTACTTTGTAAAACTTGCAGTTCAGTCGTCGATCCTTGCGCCTCCTACTAGGCCAACCACCAGCGAGCTATCACTGCTTTAGACATCAATTTTGAACCTTGGTAACCTGTTGACTCACAACAGTCGTTTCTTTTTGGGCGCTGAGAATATCATTCTAGTATTACTGCCTTTCAGACGACCAATCGAGGAGCGCGTCGTCCACGCGCTCGGAAAGACCTGGCACGTAGAGCACTTTGTCTGCGCTCGTTGCGAAAAGCCATTCCTGGGCTCTCGACACTACGAGAAGAAGGGCCTAGCGTACTGTGAGTTGCACTACCAGCAACTCTTCGGCATGCTCTGCTACTCCTGCAATCAGGTCATCCCAGGCGAGACTGTGTACGCAATGAACAAGGCTTGGTGTGTGGATCACTTTGGTTGTGTAGTCTGCGACCGCCAAATCAGTCCCAAGTACGTTCTTTTCTTTCTACTGTACTTTGCGAAATCTTAAACCTTGTCGTTGCTAGGCATAAAATCGCTTTTTTCAACGCCATTGACCATCGAAAGTCCAACCAGAGCATGTGGGCCATAGGTCTTTTGTCGTCGAAAACTTAGTTAAACCGTGGCCGGACAAGCGACGGTTGCCGAGGCTGACTTGGTAGCGAAGGTTTCCCTTACCTCCCTGATTTGACGGTGGGCGTCCCCATCCGCTCCTCCAGTACACTAGTTTCAGGTTTTGGCCGGACACCGGGCTAAGCCATGTTTGTTTGAGTGAAGGATCCGCCACGTAATACCGCTACGGCCTTCAACCTCCATAGGCCACCAATTTTCCGGATCGGTGCCCAGATACGTAGCATGTTTCGTGGCAGACTAGTCGTCAGACCCCTTTGCTGAAGGCGATGTCATTGTCTGCAACATGTAGACTCCACCGACAGCCTACGTTCATGGTCAATAGGCAATCTTTGTATTCTCCGACTTCCTGTCGTCCTAGCGGTCGTCCATCAGACCTGACGAGGATGATCACCTCTTCAGGAGAGTGGTAACGATTGTCCCCGAGTCTAATTAGGGCATTGGGAGTTTTTGCAGCACCGAATCCGCACACGCCCCGCATACCCACCATGTTCCGATGGCAAGATGAAGTCAGGACAATCAAAGATGGGCGAAGGCGCAGTGGTGGGTTAGATCTTCGTCACGTTCCTTTGTTTGTCACATATATGTTTGTCCTATGGTAAGTGTAAACCAGACTTTTTTCAGACACATGTCCGCCGACATAATGTTGGTCCCTATTTAAGTCTGACGCCAGGGCGCCACACATGCCGCTTTCAGTTGGACTGGAAAAGCTCTGCTGCCTCGGGATAGAGCATTGACTTGCGTGAGATATATGCATGCAAATGCACCTTGAACGCAGTACTTTTGGGAAGTAGGTTGTGTGTGGCACGCTTAGAAAAACTATTCCGCCTTGACAGCCACTGTGCCAAATCACATTAACAGTTCTTTGGTTGGTAGGAGAGGGAAAAGACGGAAAGTGAGGCAGACAGTGAAAACTCCGTCCGAACGTTGGCGCATCCTTCACCATAATGAATCTGGCGAGCTGGACCCTGTCATGACTCGCTATCAGCCGTGGCTTCGAATGTCGTCGACGGACTGGGTAACTCAGTTCTCCTAGTGAGTACAGTGGAGTGCCTGGTAGACTGAGAATCAGGTTGTAATGGCTTCTCAATGTGATCGTTGTGGCATTCTCATGTATGTGAGATCCGGACTCCTGGCGCACGCGGCGGAGACCGGGTCATGTGTGGCACGCGTAGACGGACTGTTTAGCCTCTGTGTCTGTGCCAATCTCTCATCATCCTGACATTGTCTAGCCACCGGAGCAAGGTGGGTGGGGGGGAGGAGAGTTCGGTATATTCCACGCGAGTCTGTTGAACTATCAACTAATTCACACGTAAGCCGCCAGTGCTGCGCCCATTTCGCGGGACACGCAGTGGACGTCGTCGCTTGCGACGGTCGAACTGCAGCCCAAAGTCGGAAACATGCCGTCATAAACTAACCTAGCCGTGTTTTCGCTGTGAAGACTGCTCATTGTGCCATTATACTGCTTATCGACATTTCTTTATGACTATCGATTGCTTTGCAACTGCCTGCAAGCGTTGTAAATCGAGTCCCAAGACGAAACTTGACGAGCACGTCCCGTAACCTGGTCGGTGTGCGCCCGTCTTACGAAAAAGCACCTTGCTACGACTGGCTACAACGAAGCCAGTCAGCGTATCCGACTTTGTGGTCCAGCCAGGTGTTTCACATCCCCTCCCCCCTCAGTCTCGGCTGAGTTACCGTTCGTATTTGGCAGTTGCCGTTTCGATTGCCGAACTCCTGTTTTGCTTGGGAAAGTCGAGTCCGCTTTATCGTGATGGAAGGCTAATTAGTTGCTCACAATGGGCTAGTTTGCTTGCGGGGTGCTGAAGCTGTCACCATTTGGACGAAAAAGGACGTAAAAGCAAAAAGTAGTTGTTGTGAAGGCCGCAGTTATCGGTGGATTTGCCACTAGGTGTCCTGTTGCATCTGAAGTATCCTATATTGGCCGGGATACTTGGTGACTTTGGACGTATATTCTGCCGAAACCCCCTTAATTGCACCCTTACGTCAAAAAATGTACTTGCTCACTTTTCCGTAGGCCCAGTGCAGACTCGTACATTCCTATGAATCCCTTAGGAGCCCTCCCCCCACACCCGTCTTGGATACTTTAAGCTTGCTACTGCCACGTCACCCCCTAACCCGACTCTGCTCATCTGACTCCATGCCATCTGTTTTCAGGGCCGTTAATGTACACATCTGTTTGTTTTCTCCCTAGTATGTAGATACATTCACCCGCGCAGTACATTTCTGGTCTTTAGACCCAAGCTTGCCTTGTGCTTTTGAGGAATTTGTCCTCCTCTGTCATGAGACTCATTCTTCGGGGTTTTCTTAGCTGAAGGCCTGTTTCCACCTGGGAGAAATCCCACTCTTATCTCTGTCGCTCTCTCTGCTGAATGTTTGCCTCGTGACCTGGATCAGTCTTGCATTGTGAACCGTGGCGTGTTTTTATCAGAAAGGAACCTATTCTAAAATAGTTTGGATTTGGTCCGCTAGTTAGAAAAGCTTGCGTTCCGACTTCCTGATTTTATGCAGCGGCAACCCCTCCAGGCCGTAATAGTAGAAGACGTGAATAATTTTATTGCCCTTAGCTCAGAACCATCCGCCGTCCGTCCTAGCTGACCGAATACACATCTGTAGGCTTCCTGGACCCTGGGCGCCACTGTAGGTTCTTTCCAGTCGCAACAGATGATGAGGTCTTCTGCGTTCCATTTCCCAGTTGTTTGACTCAGCTTAAGACCGGAGTTTTACCGAATCCGTCCGCAGGCCTTTGGTGTATTGTGTACGTGTTTCCAGGTGCCTAGCCGTTCTTCTAAAAGGATGATCACCGAATTCATAACGGTGAAAAATTTCTGCTCCATTACTACATTACTTGTGCTACTTTTAATTTTTTGATTTACGTAGGACCAAATTCTACGAATTCGATCTACGCCCGGTCTGCAAAACCTGCTATGAATTGTTCCCAATTGAACTTCGGAAGAGAATAGCAAAAATGCACAAAATGGAGTGACCGATTGCCCTTGTAGTGCGTATGTGGATGCGTACGGCCCTTCTCATTCGCTTCCTGGTGTCGCGTCTTTTTTAACCTCCTGCTTCTATCATGCTTTTCTTAGCTGATTGTGGGCACGGACCTCTTCGTGGGACGGTCTGTTCCCCACCACTCGTCCGACCTCGCATTCTAAACCGACTTCTGCTTCGTCTTCTTGGCGTCCACCAAGTCACAATCAACACTGGTCTGCAGGCCCCTTTCCGTTCTTACACGATGCCTCTAACGCGCTTTTTTACAGTATTTTAGTGTTTAATAACACCAGGCCAATTTTTCGGTCTATACTGACCCCTCTATCTTTCGAGCCCTTCTATTTTGATTTCGTTTATTACGACCTCCGAAGACGTAATATATCCTTTTATCGCCCTCCACTGGCATTGCGTTTCTTTTTTGCTTTCGTCCAAAATGCATGCTTCCTTCAAGGTTTTGATTGAGGCCAAGTTGTAAAGGTAGAATCGCGGGGAGTTTATCCTTCTATCCTTCTGTTTGAGGAATTTGATTTCAGCTGGCAAAGCTGACGGGGCTGACGACACACAGCCAGATTGGGGTTTTTCTTCCCCCTCCTCTCGCCCCCTTTCTCACTGTCTAGCCTAGGGAGGAGAACAAGGGAAAAGTCTAATTTGGGTCCATTTGCCTGCGGGCTAGTGGGCGCGGTGGTCGTTCGCATAGACTGCTTCTTGTCGGGAAAACCGAAGGCGAGGGGCCTTGTGCCTGCCAACGTTTTAGCGCCATATTTTCTCTAATTACTGTTGGTCAGAGCATCACGCCACCCAGCAGGTGGTTGGTTGGCCGCGTAGCGAACGTCTGTCCTGCGTGCAGGGGCGTTGGAGCGTCAAATAGGGCAGCCTGCCAACTATCATGTTGACGCGAGCACTATGTACGGGCCCTGCCTCCAGCAGAGGGTGACTAGACGATGACGTGTATGGTGACGCCAACACCGGTCGAGCGGCTGACCTGCGTATGTCAGGACAACTGTGATCACAGGGTTATTGCTTTTGGCGAACACAAGAATTTGGGGTGGGCACCGAAACTGAGGAAAAATAAGCCGGGGTGGTCGAATGTGCTTCCAAGTTAGAGCTTGTCCCCAAGTAGTTCCAGTACTAATTGCCATAGAGCCATTCCAAGTTGATTAACATAGTGTCACACCGACTTTCAAATAAAATTCTGGAAGGCCATTTCCAGGGGGTGTACCTTTTCCACAGCTTTCGATACTCGCGTGGACTGAGTCATATTCCCCGGTAGAGGTAAACGAAACGCCCACTTTCCAGGAATTTGGGTATCGGTAGTAAATTATGGCTTGGCACTTTAGAATATGGATGTTTTACCCGTTTTTGAAGGTCACTCTGCCTCTAACCTGTTCCCCTGTTCGCCAAGTCACGCGATACACACTGGCCCCAGGCTTATCTTATATTTCCTCATTGCTCTCCTGATGCCCATGAGATGTGTGGATTGGCCCGGATCAAGCTGCATGCTTGCAGGCAGCGGCGAAGGCTAAACTGTGCGAGTTTGTATAAGTCAAAACTCTTGCACATTTTGGGCATAACATCGGAAGACCTTTTTTGCGAAACCCATGTGAGAAGTGGGACCATCGTTCTACTACGTATTGCTGCATCTATAGAATCGATAAATAAGTGCGCACTAAGTAAGGTGTGTATCTCTGGAATATGGTTAAAAGAGATACAAGAATTCCGTACACAAAAAACATCGACTTAGGTTATGATGGCACTTGAGAGTGAAGAGGGATACTCCTAAAAGATGAGATCCACTGAATTCGGTAACTTCTGAGTGTACTCAAAGATTTGGTAGATGTGGTCTAATATCAGACAAGACGCTGCTCAAGACGGAGCCCGCCACCCGAATGGAAGCCCAGTATGGTCTAGTAAAACAATTCAATAATGCTGGAAGAACCCAAGGCGTGTGCAGCTAAATCGTCCAATTGCGAAGCCAGGAATTTGAGCTGACAGCTCCACCACAGATGAACCCTATCGCAAACGATGGGAGGCATCGCTGTCCAGATAGGGCGAAATGATGACCTATGGGACATCTACTCCGCCGCACTCATGCCGTCATCGTCTTCTGAAGGTCAGAAGGCCAAGGTGGCCGAGGATGACCGTAAACGCAGCAGCTGACAGGGCTAGGCAGCCCGTCTACGCGTGCCGCACAAACTGGTCCGTAAATCACATAAGTTGGCTTCGATGACAAGGCCTCTGGCCTAACACATGCGGGGAGTGCCATAAAGTCCACGGTAAGGAATCTCTGAAGTCCGCTCCTCATCCCAAGGGAAAACCCAGTTATCTCATCAGCCTCGGCTGCCTTGGGAACCACACGTAGTGACACTTCCAAATGCATCAAATTGTCAAGTGGAAGGGTATCTTATCGTCTTTGTTCTCTCTTCAATATCCTATGCCACTCGTGGTCTGTCCAAGTTTGGTGGCCGACCAATGGTAAGATTGGGCAGAATGGTTGACAAATGACGAGCCCCCTTTCAACGCGTGCCATGGGCGCATATGGCAACGGTTGAGGCTGCGCGCCGACCTATTGCTCTCAGGCCAGCATCTGCCACGAACCAGTATGGTCCCGCCCCTGGCTTAAGCAACAGCGTCTTGCAACAACAGACATGTCATGTTTCCCCTTATCCGCCGTCGTAGTGAAATCGTCCCCTCCACCTCACCCGACGTCCTTGTGACACTTAGACCCCTTTTCCCCTAACTCATGTTATTTGGTGAACCGGGACGGCCCCTCTCCCAGCCCTTGAGACGCGTCTCGAGCTAACTCCTACACTCCGCTCTTTATCTGCAATTCGTTAAGCTGGGTCTCAACCCATGCATGAAACTACCGTAAGCAGGTCAAGGTCTCATATTGCTGTGCAAAAATTAACCTAGTTATGCGATTCTTTTCATCGACCTTTCGAAGAACTAGGAATCCCAGTTCTAGCCAGAATATGCCTTAAGTACAGTGAGTGACCGATCTCATGAAGTGTTGGCTGAAATTCTGAAATGCGTTTTCTATTAGGAAGGATTACTTGGTCACGGTTGTAATACCGATTACCTTACGGCATAATCTTATAACATTTCGGACTCGGCAGGATGTCAGCTTTTGAATACACTTCTTTTCAATCTCCTGTATAAACTGTAATCGGTAAGAAATGGCTACTTAAGTAGCATACATTTTTCCCATTGATTTTCGATGGTCTTGAAAATTCAAATATATCTTATACAAGCCGCGAACAAAAATATGCTTTCTTTCAATTAATAGAGAATCACGTCTTCTTTATATTTTATACTCAAGGAAGGAGTATAAGAAGGTTTTTAAATAGTTTCTAATTATGAGAATTTTGAAGACCGCGTAATGTCCATTCACATGGCGTCTTACCTGGTCGTTTACCCCAGCTCCTCATGAAATGTACAATAAAGTTCGCATCCACTGCAAAATTTTATGGACTCTGTATGATAGCCTTTTAATGGCATAGAAAAATATGTGATTTTCTTTACATGGAACGCGTGCGCCTCGTAGACTGAAATCACTATGCGCTAATGCAACGAATGATCAGGCTCCAAATTATTCGGCAATTAGAAAACTTTAAAACCTAATTATACTCCTTTTTTTGAAAATAAACTATAAAGATTATGTGATTCTTTATCAAACGACTGAAAGAAAACATATTTTTTTCGTGGTTTCTATTAAATATATATTTGAATTTGCAAGAACATCGAAAATAAATGGGAAAATGCATGCTACTTAAGTGGTCATTTTTTTACCGAGTGTGGTTTCTGCAGGAGGTCAAAATGAAGTGCATTCAAAAGCCGACATCCTGGCGAGTCCGAAATGTTATAGACTTATGCTGCATGCTAATCAGTATAACAGCCCCACTTAAGTAAGCCTTCCTAATCGGAAACGCATTTCAGAATTTCAGCCAACATTTCATGAGATCGGTCACTCACTGTAGATCCTGCCCTGGGTCGGACGGAAGATTTTGCAAGAAGGGGGGATCCACTCCATCCGGTTTCAAAGAGAAACTTTTGCGAAAATGGACGTATTGTATCGTAAAACAAAATCTTTCAATTTACAGAGGCCGAACAATAAGGGACTAGAGGGACCGGAACAGTGAAGGGGATAAGTTATCGAATTGTGCCAAAAACGCGTGAGTCGACCTTGGAGAAGAAGGCTCGAGCCTCGAGACCGGAGTGCACAATGGGGCTATGCAGTCGAATGGCTCGCAGATGGGTGTCTCGGCCGTTTTGGTGATTGGCCAGAACGCAGATCTGCAACATGAATAGGCCCACCGGGCTGCCATTGGGCCAAATGAGAGGGAGAACGGACCAGCCGGTGGGTTCGTGCAACTCCACCTCGATGAGTTCCAGCAGATCACCCACGTGGTTCCCAACGCGAACTGAAATTCTTCGGAGGATTACCGAAAAGCGTGTAAGAAACAGGCGGAAGAGTATACAAAAAGAGGTGGCAAAACAGAAACACCCGTCGATATGGACGAGGACCTAAAATGTGCCAGGCCACAACTAAATGTCGCAAGGCAAGACCGTTTGGCGGCTATGAATGAGTAGGTTGTCAACACTTTTAAGGAGAAGCGTGAAACAAATAAATGAAACAGCGGCCTCTTTACGTATGGCACGCTTTAGGCGGAGGATTTGAGGCGCGTCAACTAGTGCGTTAAAACTCATTTCTCATCGACTTAACTCTGACGTTCCCGCTAGCAGACAAATGGAAAAAAGGTGATATCGTTTCACCCCGGATCAAACCCTTAATTTCCTCCTAAAAAGTCGAGCGCAAGTCCTAAGTGCCAGGATGCGCTAATAGTCGTGTTTTGGAATGACCTTATTCAGGCTCCTTCTCACCTCTGTGGTTACTGTACTGAGCTATGTAAGATCTGAGACCCGCTTGCCAAACACTGATTCTTGTAGAGTTTGAGGGCATATCGTATGTGGCAGGTATAGACGCGGTTTCAGCCT